CCTTATAACTAGGTATTCCTGTTCTAAAACCAACCACTAAGCATCATCTGTCAAGTCAAGTGGGACCCTATCCACACGACAAACGTCTGTGTAATTGTAAGTTATTGATGTCAAAGTGTGACTTGAGTCTTGTAGTTCTGCTTGTAACAAATGTGATTGTCACATCAAGCCTCAAGGAAGACATTAGCGTATGTTTGATGTAAGTTTGAACGTACGTTGACATGACCAATATTTAGGCACACGGCTAAATCAACCCAAATTCCCTGTTAGTCGTATATCAAGAAAAAGAAAATTTAAAGTAGACTTTTTCACTTTGGCTAACAAACCTTTATGAAAACTGAAAACATTCGCTAAATTCAATCTGAGCTGTTTAAGAGCCTTATTCGATATGGCTGTAATCTATGGAATGAAGCATCCCTTTTTCAGATTTTTAATTTTAAACCCCAAAATGTTAACTTTACTTAGCAATCAAATTATGACAATTATTTTCATTTTCGACTTCAAAACAAATATCATAACAAAACACATAAGAAATTGGATTGAGTTAAGTTTTGTTGTGTTGTTGTAACGCAGTTTTATTCTATTATCTATTACAAACTTTGAGTAAATGTTTATACTATGACACTTAAAACATTTTTTAATCAAATCATTATTATTTTACTTTAGTCGTTTTCTCGTCTGACGACGGATAATTATGTTTATAAAAACAATAAAGCATTCCTCGTAAAATCAAGACACTATTAATATAAGTGACTTAACTAATCTTCATACATGTAATAAATAAAACTCTTAATTATTTCAAAATCTTCATATGATCAGTTTCACAAATCTTTGAACATCGACTTCTTCTCCAGTTATCAAGAGCTCGCGTAAGGTCCAGTCATTTCATGCTAGGCATCTATTGTACACAGAGCAGTAATTGTATAAATGCACCTCAAAAGCAGATTTGAAATATATCCAAATAGTCTTACCGTTCTTCATTATTATGGCTATATAATTTCAGTATTTAAAGAAATAAGCTTTACACCGGTCTTCCGCACCACGTCCGTCAGATGTCCTGTATCATTAATAACTGAGGTGAAGAGAACGGGTCTAAATATATCACCCTGTGGTCAACCGTCGGTCATAAAATGTTGTATTAAAGGTTGATCGTACAGATAGGATGTGATAATTATCATAGACTTGTCTCTTTGTATTTTACACTTTAAGGTTGTTATAAACAACGCCTGTTAACCCTTTACAGTTTACTTTCTTATACTGTTCTTCAATGGGTACCCGGGTCCCCTGGGAAAAGGCGTTAATCGTTACCGGGGGCATATATATTTCTAATTATGTCCGTTCAGTCCTAAGTAGCGTGATATGGCTCCCGTAAAGAGTGTGAATTGTTATGGTTTGAGGTGCCCATAGAGCGTTTATTTGCGTCTTAACGACACATTCATACACTTTTACGATCTCTGAAAAGTCAACCCTTATGTTTAAGACCATAATTAGTTAAAAATGATCCGGAAATGTAACATCACGTAACTAAAAGGGTTTTAACTGCGACGGTGTCTTAAGCACATATAAGAAAAGTACAAAGACAATGTTACCTTACTAAAATGTTAGATAACGAACTGAAACAACAAGAATGCGTCAAGGTGTACTTTTACATTTTAGCATACGCTTTATATCTACCTACTTTGAAAAATTACTTTATCCTCGTAATTCTCTATAATCAGTTTATAATGCGAAATCGACTTAAAGACTTACCACTTTTTTTTATATGATTCGATGTGTTAATGTGGTTCTCTGTCTCTCTTCTGGTGCTGTTTCAAGTTTGCAGTAATTTATATATTACGGTTAAAGTTTGTTCAAACTTGATAATCATATTTGACAGGTCGTTAGACAGTCGTGCAAAATTACCGTCCGATTTGTTGGCGTTTGTATCGGTTAGGATTGGTATTGTATGAAGTTGGATTGAAACTGTAAAGCATTCGGAGTTGAATTTGATTGGTTTTGAAATGGTAAGGGGTTAAGTCGGATTGAAATATTGGAATTGGATATTAAGGGGTTAATCTCGTCCACGGTGATATTTTACAATGTAATACTGATCGATTTCGGTGAAAGTTTGCTTCGGTGTCTAACAGTTTGATGGGCCCTTGATTAACATTTCTTTGCCAAACAAAATGTAGTTAGTCGTATATGTTAAGGAGACATAAACAGAAGTATTGAATTTGGTTTAGCGGGGTGTCTAATTATGAAATTGACAGTTTATGCCTATATAATGGTCTTGTAAAACTAATTTTAAGAATGGGGTAGCCAATTATCGTGAAATGTCATTTTACACACCTGTTGCATCGGGACATCGTTCTGCAGATGGCGTTCACTTCCGCCAATCGTACCACAAACCAAAGTTTTGATGTGGTTTTCGATCCACATAACTTTCTGCTCTCAATTCTTTGACAGTGACATTTGATTTAGGTAATGTTTATTTATTTAAGTTGATTTTAAACAAGGTTAAAACTATTTTGAAAAGTTTACTTTATAAGTTATAATTATCTTTTATTATTGTATATTTATTTGTATTTGTGTTTTTCAATATGCTTCTAAAGGATTAAGATTAAGATTAATAGAGAAAAGAACAAAAAAACCAATTTATGACAAAATTATCAACAAGTCATAGTTGTGCTTTATATAATTCTCAAAATGTTATATGTCGCAAAGGCTTTCACCAGTCTCTATCTTAATTTGATCAAATCTTACATATGGACATTATCAAAATGTCGAATATCCATTAAATTTAAAATAAGTATAATATTAATATTATGGCTAATGACTTTATTGAAAGGGCAATCGTGACAGTTTTATAGCCAATAGAAATTTAAGCAACCACCACTTTTACTATCGAAAATCAAGTAGGCCTAATCATTTATCTGATTAAGGGGCTCAGATTAAGTACAAGTGGCATTTCGAAATTTCCCAACCATTTTAAAAAAATCACAAAAATAGAATGACAATATTGGAATAATATCAAAAAAATTGTAGCGGCAAGGTACATTATTATAATGTACCAATGGAACATAGGTGTTTTAACATCAGCAAAAAATGTCTGCGTATTCCATAGAATGCCGGCGATCGCTGGCCTGGGTATCGGTATCGATTGTGATACGTTACTATTTTCGTAACGATCGGATACCGGATTGGATACGTTCCTATGTCCTAAATGTCGAATCTTTCCTGGACTTTTATGCTCAGTGCTGCTCGGGTCTAGCTAAATGTCCCCACAAGGACACTTGCTGTATAAATAATAACTACCAGTGCAGAACCTATAGGTCTCTACTTTAAAATTAGCAAGCTTGTTTTCCATAATTATATGGTACCAAGCATATTTACAATATGTCGCTGATAGTGATATCAGGTGTTTTATAAGGTTCAATAAAACCGTCTATAATTGATAAATATCATCAGTTAACCATCATCATTTTGTCTTCGTCTGATAACATTTTCTTATCTCTATTATTAAAGAGCTTATCTCTTTTTCTGCCTTTAATAATAAAGAGCTCATTGTTTGAAAGAAGATTAAAGGATCTATGATGTCTTCCGACAACGGAGAGACGATATCTGAACGTCTGGGCACGTTTAAAACGAAAAAAAATAAAATAAAAGCAAACTAGATATAAAGATATAACTAACGATTCTCTTTAATTTACAACTGAAACAAGAAGTCCTTTGTGAAGATTATAACATATTTGGATTGAGATGATACCAATGGACAGAAGAGGGTTAATATAATCGGATAAAGGATAAGATCGGTAGGTTGCCCTCAGGCATTGGTCGAAATTAATCTATACTGACCTATATGCTCTTCACAGTTATTGACTATATACCCCTTTTGTAACATTTAGCATAATAAATATACCAAATAAACAATAGAATTTAGCTGTAAATTTTTGAATACACCTATTGCAGTTAGTTATTTCTTTGTTATAAAATAAGCTATTTCAACAAATTATGTATGACCAACGTTTTTTTTTATAAACTTATAAACAAAAACAGTTGGAAATCTAAAAACGCATTCGAATAACCCGGGTGTACTGGTTGTTGTAGTAGATCTATTTAGAAACTTATTGATGTTATATTGCGCTTTGCAATTGAAGAACATAACAGAGAGCACTTAATAATAATATATATCATACTAATTTTTGTTTGACATCGTCACTAAATACCTCATTATTATGACTTCGTCATTCTTTCCCGAAAAGGCTCTTTTAGACTAAATAAATATTTTTCAGGTATTATAGAAAGGTAAAAAAAATTTGGGAATACGTAGAAAAAATCTTTTTGTTGTTCTTGCTGGACCTTTCATTATGACATGAGTGTAATAAGTTATTTATTTGATCTTATAGCAAAACGTTCGCTCAAGAAAACTATCTACGACAAATACATATAAGACAACGTGGGAATATAATGATATTGCCCAGTTTACATGAAAACTTCATTGTGTTTTTATCATTCACTAGGTAAAAAATGTACATTGACATTGTCATTTTAATATGTCGACAATATAGATAAGTAAAAGGGCTATATAACGTTAAAATATAAAGTTTCATCATTAAGTACAGGTTACTTCGAGAAAGTAGGCTGTTTACTCAGTGTCTTGTGCTTAGATTGTGCAGGCCCCTTTCCCCGGACCACAAACTAAAGTTCGATATGTTATTGTGTATGTTCAATCGATGTACAGGAAGTACAGAATTGAAAAACCTGAATGGTGAGGATAGAAGCTTTAAGTATTACCGATTGACCCGCTTCCCTCATGTACTCATAGGCAATTAAACGGGGAGTTACGTGTTATTTCTTTGCTCAAAACGCGACATGCTCATAAACAAAAATTGTGATTTATGCCCTATTCTTCTGCTCTGTATGACAAGCCTAGGTAAAAAGGAAAGTGTGTTTACCTTTTTTCGAAAAGCTTTGACTTCTTATATATTGTCTTGAAGGAGAGCTCTTCAGGTGACAGAGTAAAATAAAATGAAACACAGAAGGTGTAATTTCAATATTTATATTGACGATCATAGTTGTTGTTTTTATGCATAGTTACATCCTAATCTTTATCTAAACAATTTTAATGACTTAATTCTTATCAAAACTTCATTAGTGGAATCATTAATACTAGATATGCCCGACTATAATAAAAGTAGAGGGGGTAAATGTGCGGTTGATCAAGACTATTCTACCCTCGCGGACATGCTCTAAAGGGAAATTATGTTACTAATTGGTTAATCGACGACTTTGGAAAGGGGATTAAACCTCATATCCCATCTGGAATTCATTTCTACAATTGGTTTGATAAACGATCTGTCAGCTTAAGCTATATGAACACTTAGCAAGTTCATTTATAATTCGAAATTTCGACACATTTTCTTGTTTGATGAGATAATCAACCCCGTAGAAACTGTTAAACGAGTTGTTAATCGTTCAATTGTTTCCAAGGAAACGAGAAATGTCGCTTTCCATATAACGTAATAACAAACAGTAGCAAAAATGAACAAGCACAGGCTTTCCATAATATACCGTAACGTAATATCGAAACTAGCAATTATGAACAACTACAAAGGTTTTCCACGTACCGAAACCAAATATAGAAACAGTAGCAAAAAGAACAAGCACATAGGCTTTCCGTATACCGTAACGTAATATAGAAACAGTAGCAAAAAATACAGAACAAGCACAGGTGGGATAAAAGTACGGATACACAAGAAACATATCAACGAGATTATGTATGAACTGTGGTCCTCGTGATTCTGGTCTGCATGGTTCTGACCCTATCTGAAAACATTAATGAAATAGTGAAACATTGTATCAATTCCAAGTCTTCACTCAAATTGTCTCAAAAACTCACAACACAACCAAATTACTGCCAAAAGTGAACAAGTCAACAACTTTACTTCTAACCGTTCATAAATCTATTTACTACATGTATATTTCAATTGAAGAAGGTCGCGGAGCTTCCGATTATGATCTCATTTGAAAATGTTTTTCAGCTCCTTCATTTCGTATCAGTACTAAAGGTACGATTCTCGGACCTTCAAATTAGCAACTTTACGTTAACGAGGATGCTGGAGATATAAGAATGAATTACATTATAGAATTGTATAAATGTCACAAATGGTTTCACCAGAGTCGGAGAAACCATCGACACGACAAGGCAACACGCCGCTCAACAGGTCTGAAAAGTGTTGGTATTTTCTAACCACCTCATTCGATCCACCGTGGGAGATCAACTTCACCGTGGACATGCTCAGCTTAAATGGGACTATAGACAGCCTCCGAATGCTACAAATCACACAACCGAAAGCCAATGTTTGCGCCGAAATAGGTGACGGTATATGTAGTGCACCATAGATATAACACAGAAAAAAATCAAATATATTCCACACCACCTGTTTCTTTTTGACTCCACATCATCCGTTTCCCTTGTTTCTACATCATCTATTTCTCTTGCTTCCACATCATCTATTTCTCTTGTTTCCACATCATCTATTTCTCTTGTTTCCACATCATCTATTTCTCTTGCTTCCACATCATCTATTTCTCTTGTTTCTACATCATCTCTTTCTCTTGTTTCCACATCACTTAATATCTCTTGTTTCCACATCATCTATTTCTCTTGTTTCCACATCATCTATTTCTCTTGTTTCCACACCATCTATTTCTCTTGTTTCCACATCATCTATTTCTCTTGTTTCTACATCATCTATTTCTTTTGTTTCCACATCATCTATTTCTCTTGTTTCTTCTATTTCTCTTGTTTCCACATCATCTATTTCTCTTGTTTCCACATCATCTATTTATCTTGTTTCCACATCATCTATTTCTCTTGTTTCCACATCATCTATTTCTCTTGTTTCCACATCATCTATTTCTCTTGTTTCCACATCATCTGTTTCTCTTGTTTCCACGTCATCTATTTCTCTTGTTTCCACATCATCTATTTCTCTTGTTTCTACATCATCTATTTCTCTTGTTTCCACATCATCTATTTATCTTGATTCCACATCATCTGTTTCTCTCTGATTTCCATATCACCTTTTTCACTTGTTTCCACATCACCTTTTTCTCTTGTTTCCATATCGTCTGTTTCTCTTGTTTCCACGTCATCTATTTCTCTTGTTTCCACATCATCTATTTCTCTTGTTTCTACATCATCTATTTCTTTTGTTTCCACATCATCTATTTCTCTTGTTTCCACACCATCTGTTTCTCTTGTTTCCACATCATCTGTTTCTCTCTGGTTTCCATATCATCTCTTTCTCTTGATTCCACATCATCTATTTCTCTTGTTTCCACATCATCTGTTTATCTTATTTCCACATCATCTCCTTCTTTTATTTCCACATCATCTATTTCTCTTGTTTCCACATCATCTATTTCTCGTTTCCACATCATCTATTTCTCTTGTTTCCACATCATCTGTGTCTCTTGTTTCCACATCATCTATTTCTCTTGATTCCACATCATCTATTTCTCTTGATTCCACATCATCTGTTTCTTTTGTTTCCACATCATCTATTTCTCTTGCTTCCACATCATCTACTTCTCTTGTTTCCACACCATCCGTTTCTCTTGTTTCCACATCATCTATTTCTCTTGTTTCCACATCATCTATTTCTCTTGTTTCTACATCATCTATTTCTCTTGTTTCCACATCATCTATTTCTCTTGCTTCCACATCATCTATTTCTCTTGTTTCCACATCATCTGTTTCTCTTGTTTCCACACCATCTGTTTCTCTTGTTTCCACATCATCCGTTTCTCTTGTTTCCACGTCATCTGTTTCTCTTGTTTCCACATCATCTATTTATCTTGCTTCCACATCATCTATTTCTCTTGTTTCCACACCATCCGTTTCTCTTGTTTCCTCATCATCTATTTCTCTTGTTTCCACATCATCTATTTCTCTTGTTTCTACATCATCTATTTCTCATGTTTCCACATCATCTATTTCTCTTGTTTCCACATCATCTATTTCTCTTGTTTCCACATCATCTGTTTCTTTTGATTCCACATCATCTTTTCTCTCTGGTTTCCATATCACCTTTTTCTCTTGTTTCCACGTCATCTATTTCTGTCTGGTTTCCATATCATCTGTCTCCATTGTTTCCATATCGTCTCTTTCTCTTGTTTCCACATCATCTATTTCTCTTGTTTCCACATCATCTATTTCTCTTGTTTCCATGTCATCTGTTTCTCTTGTTTCCACATCATCTATTTCTCTTGCTTCCACATCATCTATTTCTCTTGTTTCCACACCATCTGTTTCTCTTGCTTCCACATCATCTATTTCTCTTGTTTCCACATCATCTATTTCTCTTGTTTCTACATCATCTATTTCTCTTGTTTCCACATCATCTATTTCTCTTGTTTCCACATCATCTATTTCTCTTGTTTCCACATCATCTGTTTCTTTTGATTCCACATCATCTATTTCTCTTGTTTCCACATCATCTGTTTCTTTTGATTCCACATCATCTGTTTCTCTCTGGTTTCCATATCACCTTTTTCTCTTGTTTCCACATCATCTATTTCTCTTGTTTCCACATCATCTGTTTCTCTTGTTTCCACATCATCTATTTCTCTTGTTTCCTCATCATCTATTTCTCTTGTCTCTACATCATATATTTGTCTTGTTTCCACATCATCTGTTTCTCTCTGGTTTCCATATCACCCTTTTCTCTTGTTTCCACATCATCTATTTCTCTTGTTTCCACATCATCTATTTCTCTTGTTTCCACATCATCTGTTTCTCTTGTTTCCACATCATCTATTTCTCTTGTTTCCACATCATCTATTTCTCTTGATTCCACATCATCTGTTTCTCTCTGGTTTCCATATCACCTTTTTCTCTTGTTTCCACATCATCTATTTCTCTTCTTTCGACATCATATATTTTTCTTGTATCCACATCATCTCTTTCTCTTGTTTCCACATCATCTATTTTTCATCTCTTTCTCTTGTTTCCACATCATCTATTTCTCTTGTTTCCACATCATCTCTTTCTCTTGTTTCCACATCACTTAATATCTCTTGTTTCTACATCATCTATTTTTTTTGTTTCCACATCATCTATTTCTCTTGTTTCAAGATCATCTATTTCTCTTGTTTCCACATCATCTCTTTCTCTTGTTTCCACATCATCTATTTTTCATCTCTTTCTCTTGTTTCCACATCATCTATTTCTCTTGTTTCCACATCATCTATTTTTCTTGTATCCACATCATCTCTTTCTCTTGTTTCCACATCATCTCTTTCTCTTGTTTAAACATCATCTATTTTTCATCTCTTTCTCTTGTTTCCACATCATCTATTTCTTTTTATTCCACTGCACCTCTTTCTCTTTAAATGTGAATCATCTATTTATCACTGCGCCTGTATCTCTTGATTCCACATTATCTGTTTCTCTTGGCTCAGCGACATCTCTTAGTTTTTTGGATTCTTGATTCCGTGGCGTCTGTTTTTATTGATTCCACTGAACCTTTTTCTCTTCATTCAACGGCCTCTGTATCGCTTGTATCTCAGGCGGGGTGTGCTTACTCTTCTGGACAGTTGGTGTTACCATACATTATGAAATGCTTCCTCATTGTTGCTGCTTTTATTCTTTTTAATCATAGTGTTACTTTGTGATCAGTTCTCTCCCTTGAATTGTCAAAATTATAAATATTTTCATCAGTTACCTCCCTGGAAATATGAAATATCAGTTAAGTCATTAGTTCTTATCCACCCATTTGCCTATCCGTCGTGTATGTTGAGCTGCAATGGCGCCATGCGACGGGTTATGCTTACTCTTCTATACACTTTTTATTATGAAATACTCACTAATTTATTATTGATATACTTCCTCATGTGAAAGTTTATCAGCTGCTACCTATATGTATGTTTTGGATTTCGGGTTTCGGATCTTTAGTATTCGGGGTTTTTATTTCATACCACAGATCATGTTTATTTTGATTCAACAGTGACTATTCCAAAGCACTTTATTTCTCTTCATTACACGGTGGCATCTTTTCTCTTGATTCAACAGCAAATATCTATCTTGATTCCATGGTATTGATTTCTCTTGACTCAACAGAATCCAATTATCTTGATTCCATGGCGTTTGTTTTTTTGATACCACTGAAAAGTTTTTTCTTTTTGTGTCTTGAATCTACCGCATTAAATTATCTTGATTCCTGAACATCTGTTCCTCATAAATCCGCGGCATATATTTATCTTGATTCAAGATCTTCTATAAATCTTGATTCCGCTGCATCTATTTATCTTGATTTAATAGCATTCAATTCTCTCGATTTCACTTCATAGATTTCTCTTGATTCCATGGTGTGTTTTTGTCTTGATTCCTGAAAAGTTTGTTCTTTATTCTATAATATATTTATTTTGATTCCACTGAACTTCTTTGTCTTATTCATCATCGTCTGTTCCTTATGAATTCAAAGCATCTATTTCTCTGGATTCCATAACGCCTGATTCTCTCGACAACGTAGCACCTGATTTCACAGCATCTGATTTTAAATGATCCCACACTGTCATTGTCTATTTCTATCAACAACGTCTTTCTTTTCGTATTTCAACAAAGTCGGCTCTGTTTATCTTTTCAATGTCTCCCTGACGGAGTATTCTTGTCATTTTTCAAGTGTTTCTTTTCAACTACAATTTTAGTCATGAAACATGTCAATGACGTAAAGATAGTCTGATCAAGATTCTGATATATAGATAGTTTAGTCAGCTATTTATGGTTTAAACAATAAATTCATTTATTTGGTATGCCAGACATGTCTGTCTCGTCTATTAACCTGGGTTATCAATTCCAATATACCTGGATCAGATTAAGAGATTATAATAGATGCTAATCAGTTCACTAATTGATATCTGATCACTCTTTTATTATTGATTAATTGACCAATCAGATTTATTTTAACAAATCGTTGATAACTGTCATCGTTGTCACTGACCAATCAGAGTTGTTGTTGCAACCATCAGACAAAATGGAGTCATGTCTAGAAGTCAGAGCATTGAGGTATCAGTGCCAATCTGAAATTTAACATATAAAAATATGGACTACAGATCTAACCACCATAACAACTTCAACTGTTTAATTACTCTTAGTTCAGATAATATTCTATTTACTTCTTCAAAGTTAATTATTTTAAAGGTATGTTATCCTTAAAATTTGACATGAATTTACTTTCATATTAGCTGTTTAGAATATTGTACATACTAATTCACGGAGACTTGATTGAAAAGCACAAAAAGAAAACAAGATGTCACTGTCCAGGTTAAACTTCCCTCATTTCACATTGTATGCCTTCATTTCTTAAATAAAAGTTTTAAAAGATTTCAAGCACTGGATTTAATTAATTTCTTTATACTTGCAGGTTCACCATGTTGCGATGGCTGAAGAACAAGGGTAGAAGCACACCAGCCGTCAGTGGAGAAAACTCTAATTACAGATATGGTTTTCATACATCGTTTAAGAATTCGGCTTGTATTACAAATGAACGCCCTGAAGGTTGCTTCCATCAAACAGCACCAAATGATAAACCGCCACATGCATCTACTGAACATATATATGAAGATATTGATGATGGTATCTCCCAAGCTGAGCCATATTCTATAACTTCACTTGATGACTTGATTGATCCAGAATGTTGTGAGAATCCTGTAAGCAGCGTCCATTTCAAGACGCCTGTTACAAGCTGTCCATCCTCTGACAGTGGATTGGACAGTCGACAGTCGTCAAGTGAAGATGCTGAATCTACTACATCTTCAAACTACCAACCAATGGCAAGACCATCAACAGATAATGTATCCACATCATCAGCATGTTACCAGCCGATAACCACATTAGTATATTCCACTCAGCAAACTGTTACCAGACAAAAGAAAAAGAAATTAATCAAGATCAAGTCTAAAGCTTCTTCAATATTTAGAGTCAGAAAATGTAAAAGGTGGATATCCAATCATTTCAACGCAACTAAACCAGAATCCAGTGATGAGGATTATCCACAAGTTCATGTTATCAGACCACGATTTGAATCTACAAGACAGTTTACTCGAAGACGTTTAGCCTTAAAGAAGATTGAAGATCATTGGTTTGATTCCGATGAAGATTCTAGTGTTTTATCTGAAGATTCATTTTATTCAAGGATGGACATTTCGGATTTGTGTCAAGAACCCATTATCCCGGCTCAAAGTGAAGCATCAACACAGTGTGATATTGAATCTGATTCAGGAATTTCAAGTCTACCAGTGTCATCATCGCCCAGTGAGAATTCAAATGACAAATCTAGTAAAGATCTTACGCATAGTGAAGAAGAAGAAAAAGAAGAAACAGAAGAAGAACTTCCTTTATTTAAACCACAATTCGGTTTTGGTTTGAACCGATGGTACCGACCTTGAATATCAATTAAAGTTGAAAAATGTGATGCTTTTTGTTATTGTTATTAATTGTTATGATCATAATTGTTATTCTATTGCTGTTATTGTTATTCTATTATCCTAAATATTACATAAATTATTTTGATGATAACAAAACTGAATATCTTTTACTTTCAACCATTGTTCATGTAGTTTAATTTAATAAGCAAGAAATTGTGAAAATGTATTAAATTAGAGTGCAGCCACAAGACCACAGCCACATTTGAATTCGATATCACCTACCTGATTCAGATAAGGGGATTTGTACTACCAACATATGAATGGCTACTATGTACCATCTCCAACTATCGTTCTACGTCGTTTTCGCATACAGTAACTAAAACCATTTGTAAATATGTTGAAATCCAAACTCATCTTAGATACCAAACCAAACTAGATTACAATATGATCAATGCTGATGTTCTCCTCTCCCTGTACATAAATTTATTCACCAAATGCAGAGGAGCAAAGTCGGTATTATTTGTAATCTTAAAAAAACTGGTTCAACACTCATGAAGTCTCGACACACGGTCAATGATAAATGTCGGTATCTTGAGAATTGACAATTTGTGTCTTGATAATTTGTGAACATATTTACAGTCAGGAACTACCATTAGTTACAATAATTTAGAAGTTCCATTGAATCCATTCCGGGCCTCCTGTTTGACCGCTATTGATGCACTGTGGATAAAAACGAAAATGTGTACTGCTGTAACACTCTAACCAACCAGCGTGTATGTAGAATGTGCGTTCGGGAGTCTACATGATTTGTTACGAAATTTTAATGCAGAATGAGCACTTCGCAATAATTGTTTGGTAAAATATACGTCCACGTGAAATGGGGTGGGGGTGTATATTGCCGTCTGTCTGCCCTTCGATGGGTCCGCCCGTCCACAATTGCTCGTAAGCACTTTTGGCGGATTTGTGTAAACCCTTTGCGCTTGTAAAACGGGTTAAATTGTTTAGCTCTTTATCACTCTGGGAGGAACAATTCTTGACAGAAACATAGTGTGAGTGCTTGTAATCACCCAAGGATGAACCCTAGCGAAAATCAATAACATCGGAAAATAGTTGATATGAGTTATTTCCCTTGTTTTTCGAAATGTATTTATTCTCTTTCCTAGAAGGTATATTTCTCGACGTATCGGGACGATACTTAAAGAATTTTTTTCTTGGCATACAAGGAGGTAGCATAACGAAAATAAAAAAGCGCACTTCAACATATCGCGGTAATGGATAGCGGTGATTCTTGTAGATCTAACATTAGAGGCTGGTCGTTTGAGACTACAAGTGTGTGTAAACAAAGTCAATAAATGCATCCGTAAGCTATGGATTCAAAAAGATGATATAATGTATCATCGCATAACCGATAACCGTTAAATGCAAAAGTAAGTGTCGAAGGTTCTTAATTTATGGACTATATTTTGGTCGCAATATGACTATTACTTAACAAATCACAACCAAATACCGGCAGTTCCTATAAGGTCACAACGAAATTCATCATTCATTGCGGAGACAGATTCAGCTTTACGGAAATTGTTGAGGATAGCCGAATGACTTACCTCTGATCTGGTTATATCCGGTAAGTGTTACCAAATGTGGTCTTTGAAAGAGTTAAAAACGAGCACGCTATATATTTGATTCTTTTCGCAATTTTTTGCTAATTCAATCAACAACAAAAAAATTGGGTGAAAATGAAAGGTATTCAGTTATATTTATTTTTGTATTTGTATATATAATTTAATGTAATATTTAGAAGAATAGAATAACAATAACAGCAATATTTTAACAATTATGAACATAATAATTAACACAATAACAACACAAAGAACACCACATTTTTCAACTCCAAGTAATTTTCAGGGTCGGTACCATCGGTTCAAACCAAAGTTCTTCTTCTTTTTCTTCTTCTTCACTAGGCGTAAGATCTTCTTTACTAGATTCGTCATTTGAATTCTCTTGTTTCTACATCATCTATCTCTCTTGTTTCCACATCATCTATTTCTCTTGTTCCCACATCATCTCTTTCTCTTGTTTCTACATCATCTATCTCTCCTGTTTCCACATCATCTCTTTCTCTTGTTCCCACATCATCTCTTTCTCTTGTTTCCACGTCATATGTTTCTCTTGTTTCCACATCATCTGTTTCTCTTGTGTCCACATCATCTATTTCTCTTGTTTCCTCATCATCTATTTCTCTTATTTCCACATCATCTATTTCTCTTATTTCCACATCATCTATTTCTCTTGTTTCCACATCATTTATTTCTCTTGTTTCCACATCATCTCTTTCTCTTGTTTCCACATCATCTTTTTCTCTTGTTTCCACATCATCTCTTTCTCTTGTTTCCACATCATCTATTTCTCTTGTTTCCACATCATCTATTTCTCTTGTTTCCACATAATCCCTTTCTCTTGTTTCCACATCATCTATTTCTCTTGTTTCCACATCATCTATTTCTCTTGTTTCCACATCATCTATTTCTCTTGATTCCACATCATCTATTTCTTTTTATTCCACTGTTTCTCTTTAATGTGCATCATCTATTTATCACTGTGCCTGTATCTTTTGATTCCACATTATGGTTTTTTGGTTTCCTGATTCCGTGGCGTCTGCTTTTAATGATTCCATAGAATCTTTTTCTCTTCATTCAACGGAATCTGTATCGCTTGTATCTCGGGTTTTATTCTTTTAAATCATAGTGTTACTTTCTGATCAGTTCTCTCCCTTGAATTGTCAAAATTATAAATATTTTCATCAGTTACCTCCCTGGGAATATGAAATATGATCAGTTAAGTCATTAATGTTTATTTTGATTCAACAGCGACTATTCCAAAGCACTTTATTTATCTTCATTCCACGGTATCTTTTTCTCTTGACCTAACAATATCCAATTATCTTGATTCCATGGCGTTTGTTTTTGGATACCACTGAAAAGTTTGTTCTTTTTTAGTATCTATGTGTCTTGAATCTACCGCATTTATTTATCTTGATTCCTCAACGTCTGTTCCTCATAAATTCACGGCATATATTTATGTTGATTCAAGATCTTCTATAAATCTTGATTCCGCTGCATCTATTTATCTTGATTCAATAGCATTCAATTCTCTCGATTTCACTTCATAGATTTCTCTTGATTCCATGGTGTGTTTTTGTCTTGATTCCTGAAAAGTTTGTTCTTTATTCTATAATATATTTATTTTGATTCCACGGAACTTATTTTTCTTGATTCATCAACGTCTGTTCCTTATGAATTCATAACATCTAATTCTCTGGATTCCATAACGCCTGATAATCTCGACAACGAAACACCTGATTTCACAGAATCTGTTTTTCCTTGACCCAATTTTAAGGATAACATACCTTTAGAATAATGACTTCGTAGAGGTAAATAAAATATTATCTGAACTAAGAGTAATTAAACAGTGTCTAATACTCGTATTTCATGAGCGTCTATTTCTTTCAACTGTGTCCATATTTCGTATTTCAACAAAGTTGGCTCTGTTTATCTTTTCAATGTCTCCCTGACGGAGTATTCTCTTCATTTTTCAAGTGTTTCTTTTCAACTACAATTTTAGTCATGAAACATGTCAATGACGTAAAGATAGTCTGATCAAGATTCTGATATATAGATAGTTTAGTCAGCTATTTATGGTTTAAACAATAAATTCATTCATTTGGTATGCCAGACATGTCTGTCTCGTCTATTAACCTGGGTGATCAACTCCAATATACCTGGATCAGATTAAGGGATTATAATAGATGCAAATCAGTTCACTGATTGATATCGGATCACTCTTTTGTTATTGATTAATTGACCAATCAGATTTATTTTAACGAATCGTTGATAACTGTCATCGTTGTCACTGACCAATCAGACAAGATGGAGTCATGTCTAGAAGTCAGAGCATTAAGGTATCAGTGCCAATCTGAAATTTAACATATAAAAATATGGACTACAGATCTAACCATCATAACAACTTCAACTGTTTAATTACTCTTAGTTCAAATAATATTTTATTTACCTCTACGAAGTCATTATTCTAAAGGTATGTTATCCTTAAAATTTGACATGAATTTACTTTCATATTAGCTTTTTAGAATATACTTATTCACCAAGACATGATTAAAAACACAAAAAGAAAACAAGATGTCGCTGTCCAGATGAAATTTCCATCATTGCACACTATATGCCTTCATAATATAACATATTAAGTAAAGACATAAAAAAAACTGTATTAAAGTTTATTTCAAGCAATGGGTTTAATTAATTTCTTTATACTTCCAGGTTCATCATGTTGCGTTGGCTGAAGAACAAGGGTAGAAAAACACCAGCTGTCATTTACAGCGGAGCAAACTCCGTCACATCATCTGATTACAGATATGGTTTTCATTCATCGTTTAAGAATTCGGCTTGTATTACAAATGAACGCCCTGAAGTTTTCTTCCATCAAACAGCACCAAATGATAAACCAACACTACCACATGCATCAACTGAACATATATATGAAGATATTGATGATGGTATCTCCCAAGCTGAGCCGTATTCTATAACTTCACTCGATGACTTGATTGAACGAAAATATTGCGAAAATCCTTTAAGCAGCCTCCATTTCAAGACGCCTGTACCATCCTCTGATAGTGGATTGGACAGTCGACAGTCGTCAAGTGAAGATGCTGAATCTACTACATCTTCAAGCTACCAACCAATGGCAGGACCGCCAACAGATAATGTGTCCACATCATCAGCATGTTACCAGCCGATAACGACATTAGCATATTCCACTCAGCAAACTGTTACCAGACAAAAGAAAAAGAAATTAATCAAGATCAAGTCTAAAGCTTCTTCAATATTTAGAGTTAGAAAATGTAAAAGGTGGATATCCAATCATTTCAACGCAACGAAACCAAGATCAGAATCCAGTGATGAGGATTATCCACAAGTTCATGTTATCAGACCACGATTTGAATCTACAAGACAGTTTACTCGAAGACGTTTAGCCTTAAAGAAGATTGAAGATCATTGGTTTGATTCCGATGAAGATTCTAGTGTTTTATCTGAAGATTCATTTTATTCAAGGATGGACATTTCGGATTTGTGTCAAGATCCCATTATCCCGGCTCAAAGTGAAGCATCAACACAGTGTGATATTGAATCTGATTCAGGAATTTCAAGTCTACCAGTGTCATCATCGCCCAGTGAGAATTCAAATGACGAATCTTGTAAAGAAGATCCAATAGTTAATGAAGAAGAAAAAGAAGAACTCCCATTATTTAAACCACAAATCGGTTTTGGTTTGAACCGATGGTACCGACCCTGAATATCAATTAAAGGTGCTCTTTGTTATTGTTATTAATTGTTATGATCATAATTGTTATTCTATTGATGTTATTGTTATTCTATTATTCTAAATATTACATTAAATTATATAGACAAATTAAAAAAAATGAATATCTTTTACTTTCAACCATTGTTAATGTAGTTTAATTTAATAAGCAAGAAATTGTGAAAACGTATGAAATATATAGTGCAGCCACAAGACCACAACCACATTTGAATTTGATATCACCTACCTGATTTTACAAGATAGAGATAAGGGGTTTTGTATTACCAACATATAAATGGCTACTATGTTCCATCTCCAACTATCGTTCTACCACGTCGTTTTCGCATGCAGTAACTAAAACCATTTGTAAATATGTTGAAATCCAAACTCATCTTAGATACCAAACCAAACTAGAGTCACACGTGGCACAGAGTGGGACTTTGCAAATGTAGGTAATTGCAAAAGACTCAAAATCAACCTTCTACGATAATTACATCACGTGCAAGAACAGTCTAAAGTTGAGAAGTTTTAATTCTTTGGAAGATTGTTATACCGAAAGTAGACAGACCTCACAAATGAAAGTATCACAAGATAGCCAAAGCCAATGACCTTTGGCATTGAAAAGGAGACGGTAAACAAAAGTCAAGGTTACGAGATACAAGTCATCAAAATTTGAAAATAAATACGGCTAAAGAACCGGAAGTTGAGATAGGACAGCAAATATAAAAGTATAAATAGATAGCCAATGTGAATGACGTATGATCCTACAAAAGTTAAGGTAAAAAAAGGTCAAGGTCAAAAATTGAAAATTTAGAATTTTCAAAACTTGTTCCTTTTTTGGAACTATAAAGCTGAAACAATCGAACTTCTAAGACAAAGTGGCCCAAAAGATGAGGTAATTGAATGCAAAGTTTCATTTTGAACAAATGTATTCTTTGTGAGTTATGCCTCTTAACAAAAATGTAAATAATGAGTAATTTAACCCAGATGTGCATGCCCAACTCATTTTATTTGACATAAGTTTATTGATATTTAAAATGTTATGTTGTGTACCATATAGGTCAAGAAACGTCAACAAAGGTCAAAATCGAAATGAAAAGATATTAAATGTTAAAGCCCGTTCCCTTGTTGGAACTATAAAGCTGAAACATTTGAGCTGTTAACACAAACTGGCCAGAAGGATGAGGTAATTGTGTGCAAAGTCCCTTTTTGAACAAACGTATCCTATGCGAGTTATGCCCCTCTCCCAAAATGTAAACAATTAGTAATTCCCGTATGTGCCACTCTCACCTCAATTTTTCAATTTTTAGTCATTGGTGAATTCATATTCAAAGTGTTTAGTTGTATTCCAAATTCCAAGGTTCTACATCAAATAGGTCAAAAGATATACATACACCAAGCTCAAAGTATTAAATGATAGCCAAGGTCACGGTCATCAAAGGTCAAGGTTACGCGGTGTGATCGTTTAAAGCTTGAAAATATTTCAACCGGAAGTTGCAAAAAAGCAAAAGTAAAAATTCAAAATTCGGCTCCCAAAGTTTTTTGCGCAATCGATTGCAGAATACATACACATCAAATTTGAGCATAATATCAATATTTACCCAGAGGCCCCATTTTGAGTTTTACGAAAGTGTGTTTTTTCAATATGGCGACCGAAGTATCACTTCCGGTCTGGATGTTTTTTGTAATAGCATTTACTTACGATCAGCATAAATATCGTTGACCTATTTCAATTACACCGGAAGTTATTCGACCGGAGGTAGATGGTACTTTCAATTTATTCCCCGTTTAAAACCGGAAGTAAATTTAAATATTTGACAGTTACATGTTTTTTACCTTAGTGATGTCTCTTTGCATTTTAAATTTCAGATCAATTGATGCAAAAACAAAAAACTTTGATCGAAAAAAGTGAGCGACAAATTTTGAATTTCGTAATTCTGCAACTGTTATCAGATCAGAGAAGTTGAATGGTTGCTGCAACTATTGCAGACTATCCTTAGGAAGGTGTTTAAAGAAGGGACATTTTGATAACATTTCGCAAAGTCCCACAACTAGATGATGATCAATACTGATGTTCTCCTCGGTACATAAATTTTTTCATCAAATGCAGAGGGGCAAAGCCGGTATTGTTTGTACTTAAAAAAACTGGTCCAAAAACTCCTGAAGTCTCGACACACGGTCAATGACAAATGTCGGTACCTTGAGAATTGACAATTTGTGGAGATATTTACAGCCAGGAACACCCATTAGTTAGAATAATTTTGAAGTTTCATTGAATCCATTCCGGGCCTCCTGTTTGACCGCTATTGATGCACTGTGGGTAACAAACGAAAACGTGTACTGCTATAACAAGGACAAGGTTCACCCCAACCAACCAGCTTGTATGCAGAATGTGCGTTCGGGTGGCAACAGGATTTGTTACGAAGTGTAGAATGAGCACTTAGCAATAATTGTTTGGTAAAATATACGTGAAATGGGGTGGGGTGTATATTGCCGTCACCTATGTCTGTCTGTTCTTCGGTGGTCCGTCCTTCCACAATCGCTCGTAAGCACTTGGGAAGGTAGAATTCGTGGCGGATTTGGACAAAACTTGGTGAAATTATAGGGTAATCCCTATTGCGAATATAAGAAAAGTCGAAAAATATTTAGCATGAGTTACTGCGCTTGTAAAACGGGTTAAATTGTTTAGGTCCTTATCACTATAGGAGGCACAATTCTTGACGGATTGTGACGAAACATAGTGTGAGTGTTTGTAATCACCGAAGGATGAACCTTGCGAAAATCAATAACATCGGAAAATATTTGATGGGTTATTTCCTTGTTTTAATAAATGTGTTTATTTTCTTTTCTTGTAAGCAATCTAGAAGGTACGTTTCTCGACGTATTGGGACGAAACTTAAAGAAATTTTTCTTGGAGGAAGCATATCGAAAATAAATAAGATCAAATCGCATTGCAACATATCGTGGTAATGGATGGTGGTCATTTAACACTGGCACGTGATTCTTATAGATCTAACATTAGGGGCTGGTCGTTCGAGACTACAAAGTCAATAAAAGCAAAGTATCCGTAATATATGGATTCAGAACGATAATATAATGTATCATCGGATAACCGTTAAATGCAAAAGTTTTGGTCGCAATATTACTATTACTTAATAAATCACAACCAAATACCGGCAGTTCCCATAGAGTCACAACGAAATTCATCATTCATTACCGAGACAGATTCAGCTTTACGGAAACTGACGAGGATCGCCGAATGACTTATCTCTGAACGGTTGTATCCGGTTGGTTCATCAAATGTGGTTAGAAACGAGCACGCTACATATTTGAATCTTTTCGCAATTTGTTTCTAATTCAATCAACAACATTAAAAATGAATGGGTGGAAATAAACGAAATTCAGACATATTTATTTTGTATTTGTCTATATAATTTAATATTTATAATAATATAATAACAGTAACAGCAATATTCTAACAATTATGATCATAACAATAAATAACAATAACAAAACAAGGAACACCACATTTTTCAACTTCAAGTAATTTTCAGGGTCGGTACCATCGGTTCAAACCAAAACCTGTTCGTGGTTTAAATAAAGGAAGTTCTTCTTCATTTTCTTCTTCTTCACTAACTATTGGATCTTCTTTACTAGATTCGTGATTTGAATTCTCACTGGGCGACGATGACTCTGGTAGACTTGAAAGTCCTGAATCAGATTCGATATCACACTGTGTTGATGCTTCACTTTGAGCCGGGATAATGGGATCTTGACACAAATCCGAAATGTCCATCCTTGAGTAAAATGAATCTTCGGATAAAACACTAGAATCTTCATCGGAATCAAACCAATGATCTTCAATCTTCTTTAAGGCTAAACGCCTTCGAGTAAACTGTCTTGTAGATTCAAATCGTGGTCTGATAACATGAACTTGTGGATAATCCTCATCACTGGATTCTGATCGTGGTTTAGTTGCGTTGAAATGATTGGATATCCACCTTTTACATTTTCTGACTCTAAATATTGAAGAAGCTTTAGACTTGATCTTGATTAATTTCTTTTTCTTTTGTCTGGTAAGAGTTTGCTGAGTGGAATGTGCTAGTGTGTTTATTGGCTGGTAACATGATGATGATGTTGATACGTATTCTGTTGATGGTCCGGATATGGATTGGTAACTAGCGGATATAGTGGATTCAGCATCTTCAGAGGACTGTCTATTGTCCAGTCCATTATCTGAAGATAGGTTGTTGGCAAGAGACTTCTTGAAATATACTTTGTTTAAAGGATTCTGGTCAATCAAGTCATCAAGTGAAGTTATAGAATACGGCTCAGCTTGGGAGATACCATCATCAATATCTTCATATATATGTTCAGTTGATGCATGTGGTAATGTTAGTTTATCATGTGGTGCTGTTTCGGGAAAGCATCCTTCGGAACGTTCTGGATTCTTAATAATCGATGAATGAAAACCATATCTATAATCAGAAGATGTGACGGAGTATGCACCACTGTAAACGACAGCTGGTGTGCTTCTGCCCTTGTTCTTCAACCAACGCAACATGATGAACCTGGAAGTATAAAGAAATTAATTAAACCCAGTGCTTGAAATAAAATTAAATGATGCTTTTTACAGATATAGGCATACAATGTGCAATTTTTGTGCTTTTCAATTGTTAAGAGAACTTTTTCAAGTCTTGCTAAATTAGTATGTAGTATTTATATTCTAAAAAGCTAATACGAATGTCAAATTTTAATATAACATACCTTTAAATTAATAACTTCGTAGAGGTAAATGAAATATTATCTGAACTAAGAGTAATTAAACAGTGGAAGTTGTTATGATGGTTAGATCTGTAGTCCATATTTTTATATGTTAAATTTCAGATTGGCACTGATACCTCAATGCTCTGACTTCTAGACATGACTCCAACTTGTCTGGTGGTTGTAACAACATCTTTGATTGGTCAGTGACGACGATGACAGTTATCAAGGATTGTTAAAACTATTCTGATAGGTCGACTAATTAATAATAACAAGGTGATCAGATATCAATCAGTGAACGGATTAGCATCTATTATAATCTGATCCAGGCATATTGGAGTTGATCACCCAGGTTTATAGATGAGACAGACATGTCTGGCATGCCAAATGAATATTGTTGAAACTATCTATATATCAGAATCTTGATCAGGCGGAACTTCACGATTGAAACGCTGATAGATTTACGTAATTATCATCTTGGCCGACGTAGATTGTCGTTTACTTTAATACCTAAAGATGCTATGCGACTGAAACACGGAAAAATGGAAATGTTGAAATAAGAGAAATAGACGCCTTTGAAATAGAGAGGTAGACTCTTTTGAAATAAGAGATCAGGAAAGAGAGAGATGTTGAAAAATCAAGAAGGAAAGTTCTATGGAATCCAGAGAAACAGATGCTATGCAATCATACGGTACAGACGTCGGGGAAACAAGATAATAGAAACTTCTATGGAATCCAGAGAAACAGATGCTGTGGAATCATAAGGTACAGATGTCGGGGAATCAAGATAACAGAAACTTCTGTGGAATCCAGAGAAACAGATGCTATGGAATCATAAAGTATAGACGTCGGGGAATCAAGATAACAGAAAGTTATGCGTAATCCAGAGAAACAGATGCTATGGAATCATAAAGTATAGACGTCGGGGAATCAAGATAACAGAAAGTTCTGCGGAATCCAGAGAAACAGATGCTGCGGAATCGTAAAGTATAGACGTCGGGGAATCAAGATAACAGAAATTTCTGCGGAATCCAGAGAAACAGATGCTATGGAATCATAAAGTATAGACGTCGGGGAATCCAGATAACAGAAAGTTTTGCGGAATCCAGAGAAACAGATGCTGTGGAATCATAAGGTACAGGCGTCGGGGAAGCAAGATAATAGAAACTTCTGTGGAATCAAGAGAAACAGAAAAAGATAAATATATAGTGAAGTTTTGGGATCAAGAACACAATTTGCAGTGGAATATGGTAACCAGACACCATGAAATCAAGACACTGAACAATCAAGAGGCATATATACCATAGAATTAAGAGAAAAGACGCCATGTGATTAGTGAGAAATAGATGCCCCGATAGACACAGAAACAGATGCTCTGAAATCGAGAAAAAATACGCATTGGGATTAGAGAATCCAATTACATAGAACCAAGGGAAATGGATGTTGTGGTTCTATAGAATCAAGAGAACCAGTCATTATGGAATCAATATAAGTAGATGCTGTGGAATCAAGAGAAGAAGCTTCTGTGGAAACATCGTATGTGGAATCAAGAGTAGAATAGATGACGTGGAATCAAGAGAAACAGAGGAGGTGGAATCAATAGAAACAAATTCGATGGAATCAATAGAAACATCGTATGTGGAATCAAGAGTAGAATAGATTATTTGAAATCAAGAAAAACAGATTTTGTGGTCGTGGAATCAAGAGAAATAAATGCCACAGAATCAAAATCTGGCGGAAATAAGAACATTTCAATATGCGTAGAACCAGTTTCTAATGATGGCTATTCGTTTGTTTAATAAAATTTGATGTTTTCCATTACATATACGTATTCTCCTTCGTCTATAGACACCAATACTTTACCGCCGACGAAATTATCAAGGTTTAGTTCCTTCACATATTGCGAATATTTAACAAAACAACAATACAGTTATGACTAATAAGTTTATTATAACAACAAATCAAGCACTATAAAGATCATTCATAACAATTTCTACTGTTTATACCATCTATTTAACCCAAAACCAATCTTTGGATTAAATGTTGGCAGCTCCTCGTCGAGAACAACCTGGACGCTTTCTGGATTGGTATCAAAACTGTAGTTACTATCTGACAGGCAGACACTACTTTTAGATAGACTTTGTGTTAGATTTCTATCTGATTTGACAGAATGCAGACTATTACCGTCAGAATCAAAACTATAACAAATATCTGAAAGACAGACACTGTTTTTAGACAAATGGTTCATTCGACTCTGATCAATTGATCGATATTCATATTCACAAAACACGTGTTGCATTCGACTCGGGTTATTTGTTTTGGGTTCACAATGTAGACATAAGTCACTATCAAAACTATATTCATTGTCTGATAAATATACACTTTCATTGGATAAGTTACTGCTGCGATATGTTTCTACATTTTCACAAGCAACCATATTATTGGAGAATAGAGAGTCAAAACTATATTCTGAGTCAGATAGGTACAATCTTGTTCTGGATTCTGTATATGATTGTCCACAGAAAGAATGTTCACTGGATGTAAAGATTTCACTTTGATCAGATAGACTTGATCTACCAGAATCCGAATCTGTCTCATAAGAAAAGGATTTAGAATTCTTATCTTTATACTGTATCAAATCAATCAAAACACATGCAGAGATTTGAGAATTTTGTGCACAGGAATAAGAATCAACTCTATCTGTTTGAGTGCACTCCATAAAAGAACAATCAGTAAAATCTTTAAAAGACGCCGTCTCAGAGGATGCAGCTTCGTCATCAGAAGTTAAAAAGTTTTGAATTGGACACTGTTTAACATTGGAAATTACTTCCACAATTTCAACTGATGAAGAAATAATGTTGACCTCTTTATTCTTGATCACTTTCACCTGGACTTTATGTTGTTGGGTTTCACGAGTGTTTGGGATGGCTTCATTGATCTCTAGTGTTTCAGGTTTATTAGTGTCTCTTTCCCGCATTTCACATTCTGCTAAGATTCTGTTCGATACGTTGTATTTGCCGTGTCTGCCAGGACATTTAGATTTCACCCAATCAAACATGATGCTTTTCCTGCAATAAAATTTAGACTTGAAATTAATTGGTATTTTTTCAAAATTCGGTACGCACCATCATCGTGTATACCTAGGTCTTTTGACATGGCCATATACCAGGTTGATTATTCAGAAGATGTCCATAATAATTCAACTCACGGCTTAATAGCAGAGTGAAATCAAGCCTTACCTTATTGCTTAATAAAAAAAAGGCGAATAGTAAAATATGGAATTGTTCTTTTCTGTAAGATCTTGACTGAGCAAAATGCAATACACGAATGGTGGTTGAATGTGTCTGCTGTATTTATAAGTCACTGGCTATGACGTCATTTATAAAACGTTTAATGATCTAAGAGTATTAAAAATATTTACCTATGAAATTAGATTAGAAACATTGTTAAAAGTGGTAGAATTGTTACTGTCGATTCAGAAAATATCACCCCAATTCCTTAAAATAGCACCCATAATGATTAAGTCGCGACATGGGTGTAAGATATATCACCTAAACTCAACATTTCATTAAAACTGATTGAAATAAAATACAGCTATATAAATGTTGGTTTACGTTTTAACATTAGATCTTAATCAAGTAGGTCAGATAAAGGGGGATAATCAGGCTACTGTTTAAACAGACTTAATGAGTGGATTTAATCTGACTAATCTAAAATAAATTAAGAAAAGTGAAGATATATTGTGCATATTGTCTTAAATATTTTGTAAAGGAAAGATTATAATCCACTATTCTGTTTCAGCTATCTAAGGGTTCATAGTCAATAAATTTTAAAAATTGTACAAAAAATTTAAAATGTTAGATGATTTAACGCCAAAGAAAAGACTTTATTCTGACCATTGTAAAAGCGCCATGTTTTTATGTGTGATATTTCTTTTTAATTTAAACAATATTTTATTCATTGATTAAACATATGATATTTTACAAAATATAAATAGGGTTTCGGAAGCCAACTAAGGCTTGTGCTTATCAGTCACCTAACACAAAGCAGACAATTATAACTTATATATAATAACTAATAGAAATGGATGGGTAGATCAATACAATATGTTATATTTCGGAAATACCGTAATCGATGATATTCATATTAATATATAAAGAAAGTGCAAAAGTGCATAATGTTATCACACCACCATCACCATGAAGCCGTAAATATGAACAGCCAGACTGGCTAATAATGAAGACCAATATTAGGTTTAAATAGTTGATTTTGTCATAGACAAACTAGAAGAATGAGTAAAATGGACGAAACCTGATGAGGTATGAGTCGAAAGAGTTGAAATCGTAATCTCTAGAGTAATTATTGGCACTATTGCAAATATACAAGATCACTATTAGAATAGATATATTTAAGTGATATCTGTATTAGTCAATGGTCCACAAAATTGTCAACTTAAACAACAAATGGTGCCAAATCATAACCAAATTCAAAACCGGAAATAAAATATACAAATATACTATATTTAAATATGTCCACCTATTTCGTCAAAAACAACTCTGACGTTATTGACACATATACGGAAGAGGATGTTGTTAAAATGTTGATAACATATTTGTCGAATTTGACGGAGGGATATTTCAGTAGATAATTTGCATTTCTATTGGTTCTTATAGATGTTCCTTTAATTGCTGACATATTTCTGTATTTTTAATAAGCAGAATTTATCCAAGATCTCCAATACAAGGGCAGTAACAACTCTCTCATTCTATCAATACCACTTTTTTCACTGAATAACTAATTAGTAATAGTGTTCATAGATCACAGTCGAACTTTAAACCTTCAAATCCACGTGTCCAGAATTATCTGCGTTTCAAAGTTAGAGTGACAACTCGTCTTTAATTGAGACTGGTGAGAGAAAAGACATAATATATAGTAATAGAGAGTGAAATTTCTAGTTTGAGGTATTTTTGAAGGAGGTTGTGCGATTTTCATGTCTTTTTACATACATCAAACCCCCAATAATTGATGAAAAAGACAAACCCTGGCCTTATGATGAAATTATAATATTAAACCAGAAGGATCCTGTAATCAAGGAACAAAAGCCAAGTAATCGTAATGTATAATATTGTCTCACTGAGGTGCTAAAATCGCTATCATGATACCGATCGATTGATACATTTGGGGTGTTGGGTAACAACTTTGCAGTTCTCGAGCAAAGGTCTCTGAAAGCAGAGCATCGCCACGTCAAAGCAACGTCATCTGCAACGACACAAAGATTGGCAATGAGATGGTTAATAAAATGAGGCCAATAGATGTTGAAGTTCTTTATGATCAAATCAAAATAATCTCAAATTTAATATTAAAACAAACTTTAATAATAATAAAAAATAAATAAATACAGCACTTTAGTTATCATTTGGTACAACATCCAGAGGCGGAGCTAAGAGCTGGGGGGGCAATCTGAGATTGCCCGAATATGTAACCTAGTTGAGATTCTTGCCCGAAAAACTATCTTTTGAGGCGGCTGCCCCTCCCCCTTTGGCTCCACCACTGCCAAAATCTTAATGATGCTTTCTGAATTGGTATCAAAACTGTAGTTACAATCTGAAAGGCAGACACTACTATTGGATACTCTTCGTATGTAACTTCTATTAAATGACTTATGTAAAGCCATATTATCCGAATCAAAACTATAACAACTATTGGACAGACAAACACTGTTTTTAGACAGACTGTCAATTTGATCCTTGTCAAGCAATTGTAGTTCACATGGCAGACTTTGAATTCGACTTTGGTGAATGGATAGGGATTCACAATGTAGATAGGAGTCATTGTCAAAACTGTATTCATTTTCTGATAAACACAAACTTTCTTCGGCTAAATTAATGCTGAGCATTTCAGTAAATTTGGGACACTGAGAGTCAAAGCTATATGCTGAATCAGATAAATATAAACTTGTTCTGGAGTCTGTTTTTGAGTTTCCATGGAAGGGTTTGTCTTCTGTGTTGGAAACAAGACTTTCACAAGATAGAAGAGAACTTTGACATGATAGACTTGATCTACAAGAATCTGAATCAGTCTCGTAATATATGACTTTAGAATTCTGTTCTTTAAACTGGATTAAATCCACCAAAACACATTCAGAGATTCGAGAATTCTGCTCCTATAAATGTGTGTCAATCACATTTAATGGTGAACACCATCCAGAGGATTCATCAGTAAAGTCTTTGAAAGATGTTGTAGCAAAAGGTTCGTCATCAGAAGTGAAAAAGTTTTCTATTGGACTCTGTTTAAAACTGGAAGTTACATTTCTGCAGATGGTGAAATAATGTTAATTTCTTTGTTTTTATTGACGGTAACGTGAACTTTGTGCTTCAGATTTTGTTGAACTCGGGACTTGCCCTTCTCGGTGACATCATTATGAACTCTTTGTGGTACATCATATTTGCCGTTTCGGCCGGGAAATCGGGATTTTATCCAATCAAACATTTTGAGAATTCTGAAACACGTTAAAAATGATATTGAAAAATTAAATATAGCTTAAACTATTTACCGTTAGGACTTTAAATAACTCGAATATAGCGGTCAGAATAGATACAACATGCATTTCGACTTTGTACTGCGTTTTATATATATATATAAAAATGTTGCCTACCTTAGTGACGAAAAAGGGATAGTCTAATGAACTTATTTTTCTTTATTGAAGGTTTGAAGAGGCTGAAGAACTGTTGGGAACGAATGCCAGCTGTAGAATGACTATTAGCGATGTCAGTTGTTTTTTATAACCAAGTATCCTGACATCATCTTATTAGACGTCTAATGACCAAACAGTTCTACCTATTTATCAGGTTAGATTAAGAACATTATTAAAGGCGGTAAAAACATCAATGTCACCTTAGAATATAACACGTCAATTTCTTATAGTAGCACCCATTATGATTACGTCGCGACGAGGTATATGGTCTTCAGCCTAAATTAGAAATGTTCGTTTAGTTAGATCTTGGAGTAAGTCATTAATCCAAGGTTAGATTAACACATTATTCACAGCGATAGAATCGTTAATATCAATTCAGAAAATATCACCCCAATTCCTTAAAATAGCACCCATAATGATTAAGTCGCGACATGGGTGTAAGATATATCACCTAAACTGTACATTTCATTAAAACTGATTGAAGTAAAATACAGCTATATAAATGTTTGTTTACGTTTTAACATTAGATCTTACTAAAGTAGGTCAGATAAAGGGAGATAATGAAGGCTACTGTTTAAACAGATTACGTCGCGACTTAATGAGTGGATTTGATTGAACTTATTTAGTCCTAATGAAATATAAAAAAGAAGTATGTAAAAAATAATAAGGTATAATTGTAGCCGGTCCCTGGGTACAAGGGGTTCTCCCCTTCAACCAAAAATAAGGCTTGGGTTCTCGTTCCAAATTTATTATATAACTAAAAAAAACCCGAAGTGGGGTTAAATGTATATCTGTAAACTATATCTTATTAACTAAACTACGTAATATACACAGGCTTTCACTGAATAATGTAGAATTAATCAGATAGCTGACTGAATAACTAGATTTGGTGAAGGAATCAAATCTAGTCTCCACTCTACAAAGTTAATGATGAAAATGTGGTATCTAATACACACAGTAACTAGGGTGAGGATGAAAACAGCTCACCCCAGAAGACAGACAGAAAGGTGAATCCCAAGATATAAATAGATCAAAACAAAGGGGTATTTACAGGTGATTGGCTGGTGCAGTGAAGTATAAAAAACAACTGTTTAAAGGGACAGTCAAATAAACCACACTGTCACATAATTATGACTTATATATACATGTATTGTCCAAGTTATAGACAGATTTTGTTGATGGAAAAATTTCTCGTTTTTAAGTTCCATGCATAGACTATTAAAAGACCCATAGAATCATGGATTGAAAAAAATAGTGTATTTTATGCTGTTGAAAAAGCAATATGTAGCACTATTTATGATAAATTAAAACAAGTGCGAATTTAGTATAAAATTGATTTGTTCTCACCAAATCTAAACTTTCTTAGATTGAAGTCAATACCCTACGATTGATGGAGATAATAGCCAACTGGTGCTAAGTTATATATGACTAGTTTGCTCTATAACTACTTTATGTTCCTATTTTGCGGTGGAAATCAAATCAAAATCATTCAGAGTGGCCTTACTTATATCCAAAACCCATTTGGTAATGGTGGCAATTTTTCAGTCCAATGACATTTTGCTGCATGAAATGAACATTGACTTGATGTTTCAAACCAAGGTTTAGTGTCATTCTCATTGAATAATATCCTGAAAAGGCCCTGCGTATCAATACAGTATAGGAAATACTGTTTATATTGGAACATAAATATACTCTTCCTTTGAAACTCGTTTATTACTGATACAGATCAGAGGAGCGGATTCACAGAGATCCACTAACTGCACGTGACAAAATGTAGATGAGTTTCAAAAACTTTTGTCGTGTAACAATAAAAACGTCATGAACCATTTTGAAGGGTGATGGTTAAAATTGAACTTTAGACTATAGACCATCATATATTAAGCAATTTAATACAACTTGTTATTGATGTAGGTGTGATAGGCTAACATGAACAATGATACGCATTTGTTTTGAAAACAAAAACACGAAAGCGCTTGGTCTGCAACGACACAAAGATTGACAATGTGATGGTTAATAAATTGAGGCCAATAGATGTTTAAGTTCTTTATGATCAAATCAAAATACAACTTAATACAAAACAATCTCAAATTTAATATTAAAACAAACTTTAACAATAATAAAAAAAAAATAAATAAGTACAGCACTTTAGTTATCATTTGGTTCAACATCTTAATATCGTAATAATAATTATCAATGTTTGTACCATCTATTGAGTCCAAAACCAATTTTTGGATTGAAAGTTGGCAGCTCGTCTTCCAATGCATCTCCGAAGCTTTCTGAATTGGTATCAAAACTGTAGTTACAATCTGAAAGGCAGACACTACTATTGGATACTCTTCGTATGTAACTTCTATTAAATGACTTATGTAAAGCCATATTATCCGAATCAAAACTATAACAACTATTGGACAGACAAACACTGTTTTTAGACAGACTGTCAATTTGATCCTTGTCAAGTAATTGTAGTTCACACGGCAGACTTTGCATTCGACTTTGGTCAATGGATAGGGATTCACAATGTAGATAGGAGTCATTGTCAAAACTGTATTCATTTTCTGATAAACACAAACTTTCTTCGGCTAAATTAATGCTGAGCATTTCAGTAAATTTAGGACACTGAGAGTCAAAGCTATATGCTGAATCAGATAAATATAAACTTGTTCTGGAGTCTGTTTTTGAGTTTCCATGGAAGGGTTTGTCTTCTGTGTTGGAAACTAGACTTTCACAAGATCGACGTGAACTTTGACAAGATAGACTAGATCTTCCAGAATCTGAATCAGTCTCAGATATGACTTTAGAATTCTGTTCTTTAAACTGGATCAAATCCACCAAAACACATTCAGAGATTCTAGAATTCTGCTCCAATAAATGTGTGTCAATCACATTTAATGGTGAACACCATCCAGAAGATTTATCAGTAAAGTCTTTGAAAGATGTTGTAGCAAAAGGTTCGTCATCAGAAGTGAAAATGTTTTCTATTGGACTCTGTTTAAAACTGGAAGTTACTTCTACAATTTCTGCAGATGGTGAAATAATGTTAATTTCTTTGTTTTTATTGACGGTAACGTGAACTTTGTGCTTCAGATTTTGTTGAACTCGGGACTTGCCCTTCTCGGTGACATCATTATGAACTCTTTGTGGTACATCATATTTGCCGTTTCGGCCGGGAAATCGGGATTTTATCCAATCAAACATTTTGAGAATTCTGAAACACGTTAAAAATGATATTGAAAAATTAAATATAGCTTAAACTATTTACCGTTAGGACTTTAAATAACTCGAATATAGCGGTCAGAATAGATACAACATGCATTTCGACTTTGTACTGCCTCTATATATATATATATATATATAAGGCTGCCTACCTTAGTGACGAAAAAGGGATAGTCTAATGAACTTATTTTTCTTTATTGAAGGTTTGAAGAGGCTGAAGAACTGTTGGGAACGAATGCCAGCTGTAGAATGACTATTAGCGATGTCAGTTGTTTTTTATAACCATGTATCCTGACGTCATCTTATTAGACGTCTAATAACCTAACAGTTCTACAAATATTTATTTATCAGGTTAGATTAAGAACATTATTAAAGGCGGTAAAAACATCAATGTCACCTTAGAATATAACACGTCAATTTCTTATAGTAGCACCCATAATGATTACGTCGCGACGAGGGTATATGGTCTTCAGCCTAAATTAGAAATGTTCGTTTAGTTAGATCTTGGAGTCAGTCATTACTCCAAGGTTAGATTAACACATTATTCACGGCGATAGAATCGTTAATATCAATTCAGAAAATATCACCCCAATTCCTTAAAATAGCACCCATAATGATTAAGTCGCGACATGGGTGTAAGATATATCACCTAAACTCAACATTTCATTAAAACTGATTGAAATAAAATACAGCTATATAAATGTTGGTTTACGTTTTAACATTAGATCTTAATCAAGTAGGTCAGATAAAGGGGGGTAATCAAGGCTACTGTTAACAGAGATTACGTCGCGACTTAATGAGTGGATTTGATTGAACATATTTAGTCCTAATGAAATAAACAAAAGAAGTACAGTGGTGTAACCTATTTTCGTGGATATAAGGATTCAACATCGAATTTCGTCAAAGTTAAAAAAACGAAAAAATTTTGTTATATATTAGATGTTTCCTCAGATATTCTACAAAATAATTAAAATTGGTTTATTTCGATTTTCTTTATGAATCTCTCACTTTGACCCATATTTCATGAGCAACCAACTCGGCAACGGCGGCAGAATGCGTCACCTATTTTCGTGTACAATGTTTGATCTATAAATAAGTCGAGAAAAACACGTTGTATGGATACCGGGTGGTATAATTAACTTCTCTTAGTATTTATCTTTAATATCAATTCGTTATAACTTGTGACAATTCCTTCAAAGATCCACGATTCTAAAATAAAATAGTGACTGACAAAATAAGATACGTAGCGTGATTTATTGATAAAAGTCACTGAAACAACATAAGAATATGGTCCACTTTGTGTTCCATAGAAATTTTTAAGGAAATTTGGCCGATAAAAAAATGGTGACGTTTGGTAATAACTGAAATCCGCCATTTTGTATTTGTCAAAGTAAACATTAATACATTTTACCTTGCTTGAAATTACTGGATTCATTCTACTAGCTGATATTGTAGAGAAAACCCATGTTTATGAAAACTAACTAATGCGGAGGTCGCGCAAGGTCGCTCATGTAAATTATTAAACATTTCCGGAAATCCACGAATAATAGGTTTCCACGAAATTAAGTTACTTGACTGTATGTAAATAATAATTTATATGTATATACATGATATAGACAGATTTTGTTGTAGGAAAAATTAATTTTTTTCGTTTTTAAGTTTCATGCATAGACTATTAAAAGGACTCTAGAAACATTGATTGAAAAATAGTTAGTGCATTTTATGCTCTTGAAAAAGCAATATGAAGCACTATTTATGATAAATTAAAAGAAGTGCGAATTTAGTATAAAATTGATTTGTTCTCACCAAATCTAAACTTTCTTAGATTGAAGTCAATACCCTACGACTGATGGAGATAATAGCCAACTGGTGCTAAGTTATATATGACTAGTTTGCTCTATAACTACTTTATGTTCCTATTTTGCGGTGGAAATCAAATCAAAATCATTCAGACTGGCCTTACTTATATCCAAAACCCATTTGGTAATGGTGGCAATTTTTCAGTCCAATGACATTTTGCTGCATGAAATGAACATTGACTTGATGTTTCAAACCAAGGTTTAGTGTCATTCTCATTGAATAATATCCTGAAAAAGGCCCTGCGTATCAATACAGTATAGGAAATACTGTTTATATTGGAACATAAATATACTCTTCCTTTGAAACTCGTTTATTACTGATACAGATCAGAGGAGCGGATTCACAGAGATCCACTAACTGCACGTGACAAAATGTAGATGAGTTTCAAAAACTTTTGTCGTGTAACAATAAAAACGTCATGAACCATTTTGAAGGGTGATGGTTAAAATTGAACTTTAGACTATAGACCATCATATATTAAGCAATTTAATACAACTTGTTATTGATGCAGGTGTAATAGGCTAACATGAACAATGATATTGCAAGTATTGTCATCTGAAAGTATGATACTATTCATGATCAACTTTAATACCTCCATATCACCTAGGATTGTTCTGGTTTCGGCAGAACCCGATCTATATTTATTTACGTTTTAAAAAAGTACCCATCACTCCAGATCTTCCCCGAATATATAGGACACTGCTCATTAATGCTTTTTAGCAAAAAATGCGCCCGATCGACCAAAAATGGTCGGCATTGTCAGGACCAAACCATTCCTTTGAAAAATGGCCTCATAAGCAAAAGACCGAAAACTGCCCGAAGATCTTTAATTTCGGTTTCCCGTGGATCCTTTCGTCAACCTACGCCTACATTTGGCCGCTCTCGGCCGAACAACGTAGGAACATCGCTCACTTGCGATGAGGTGCGGGTCTCTACCGAGCCTTTGCCGTGTACCTACGCAAAATCGATCGCTCGAGTAACGTCTGTGATTCATCCCTCCGCAATAATACGGAGGTCGGGACTCAATCGGGTCAAATATGGGGACGATTTTAGTCGATACATGACGACAATAAAATAGTAATTCATCGGTGTCTTGGTGGAATGGGGGTATTAAGAAAATTAATCATCTAATTCTTAAAGGTTCTGGCAATCTATTAATCTATTGTTTAATCGGCTGATATTTCGCACTGAAACAAACAACTTATTTCACTGTCGAATTGAGCTCACTTTAAAGTGTTTTCTTACTGATGCAGTGTTTGGAACTCGCCGATGAAAATACTTAATCATGAAATGCTGAGAAGAATCGTCGAGAGAGGACCAAGATAGAAACTATGAAACACTATCAAGGGTTTGAACATCGCCTTGTGTCATAATATGCAACGACCCAGAGATTGAAAATGCGTATCTTTAAATAAAAACCATTGAAATAGATAACAAAATTTAATAGAAAATAAGTACAGCACTTTCATGATCACTAGTTCAATCATCTCGATATACAATAATTATCATCAATGTTTGTACCATCTATTGAGTCCAAAACCAATCTTTGGATTGAAAGTCGGCAGCTCATCTTCAAATGCATCGTTCATGCTGTCAAATCTGTGGTTACAATCTGAAACGCAGACACTACTTTTGGATACACTTGTTATGTAACTTCTATTAAATGACTTATGTAAAGCAATATTGTCTGAATCAAAACTATAACAACTATTGGACAGACAGAGACTGTTTTTAGACAGACTTTCCATTTGATCATTGTCTAATGATAACGGCGTACATTCACTAAACAGGTGTTCCATTCGACTATTGTCAATTGTTTGGGATTCACTATGTAGACATGAGCCACTATGAAAACTGTATTCATTGTCTCGTATATATACACTTTCTTTTACTAATTTGGGACACTGAGAGTCAAAACTATATTCTGAATCAGATAAATATAAACTTGTTCTGGAGTCTGCTCTTGTGATTGTATGTCCAGGGTAAGGATTATCTTTTGATATGGAAACCAGACTTTCACACGATTGACTGGAACTTTGATATGATAGACTCGATCTACCAGAATCTGAATCAGTCTCATAAGATTTTAGTTTAGAGTCATGTTCTTTAAATTGAATCAAATCCACCAAAACGCATTCGGATAATTGACAATTTTGCTGCAATGAATGTGTGTCAATCACATTTAATGGTAAACATATCCCAGAGGATTTATCAGTAAAGTCTTTGAAAGATGTTGTAGCAAAAGATACAGGTTCGTCATCAGAAGTGAAAAAGTTCTCTATTGGACTCTGTTTAAAACTGGAAGTTACTTCTACAATTTCCGCAGATGGTGAAATAATGTTAATTTCTTTATTTTTATTGACGGTAACTTGAACTTTGTGCTTCAGATCTTGTTGAACTCGGGACTTGCCCTTCTCGGTGACATCATTATGAACTCTTTGCGGTACATCATATTTGCCGTAACGGCCGGGAAATCTGGATTTTATCCAATCAAACATATTGAGATATCTGTTACTGTTTATCTGAAATACATTAAAATGAAGTTAAGGAAAAATCTTAACTATACCTTATTTTTAATGCCAATATGTTGTTTTGGATTTTGTGTATCGATAGTATTTGGTTTATTTTTCATACTATTTACTGTAAGGTCTTGTATCTTGCAGAATGTATTTCGACTTTGTACTTCGTTTATAAACCAGGGTCTTCAAAACTTTAAAGGATTCCTTACCTTTGTGACAACAAAATGTTAAAAAATATTTCTGTATTGATGGTTTGTAGAATACGAACTGTTCTCGGCGAATGTCAGATGTAGAATGACTATTGGCGATGTCATTTATTTTTTATAACCATGTATCCTGACGTCATCTTATTAGACGTCTAATGACCTAACAGTTCTACAAATATTTATTTATCAGGTTAGATTAAAACATTATTAAAGGCGGCAAAAACATCAATGTCACCTTAGAATATAACACGTCAATTTCTTATAGTAGCACCCATAATGATTACGTCGCGACGAGGGTATATGGTCTTCAGCCTAAATTGAACCGCTCGTTAAGATTGATTGGGAGAAAATACCGTAGAACCAACGACTGATAAATTAAAGTTTACTCCAGTAAGAGAAATAAAGGGAGTTAATCAGAGTTACGCTAAGAAAGATTACGTCGCGACGATATTAGTAGTAGAGATTGAAACTGATTAAATTGATCATGCTCTATGAGAAAAAGGACAGGTTAATTCTTCCTCTGTTAAATCTAAGTCTTAGAAACGGATTTTTTTTTTATCTAAGTTAATCAGTAATGTTCACAGCTCACCGGCGGAATCTAAGCCATCGAATCCATGCATGTCGAGAATTATCTGCGTTAGAAAGTTAAAAAGACGACTCGTCCTTTCTTGAGTTTCTACCACATACAGGAAAGAAATATATAGAAAAAGAAAGAGATATGCCTATTTTGAAGTATTTTTGAAGGAATTATGTACATTTCTTGTACTTCTGAAGACCATTTAATACAAAAAAAAACGAGTTTGTCTGTCCCTTTATAGAAGGATTAATAAGGATATATGCCGAACTTTGCTTTATTTAAAAAAAAAAAATGGATTTAGATTATAAGTAGCAGATTTCTAATATCATCTTTCGATATTCTAAATATTACATTCTTTCAGTGAAAGTGGCTGAATTTCCGACTTGAATATCGACGGATGTTACTTATTTTCAGAAAGTGTTCATTCATCATACTTTAAAAAAATATATATGAAGGGCTGTATCGAATTTTATTCAGATTTTCACTTCAAATGATACACATAATGATGCCTAATGGTTGTTGAGATATGCACTCCAAGGGAAACAACTAATATTTTAGCGTTTATTTCTGAATGATTATCAAGATATTCACTTCAAGGTGTATGTCCGTATCAAATTCCCCAATGTTTATCAATGCATTCAATTCAAGGAATATAACTAATGTTTCTGTATGTGTATTTAAATATTCAATTCAACCTTTTAATTTTAAATTTCAAACATGAACACGAGAAGATCCTTTCATGGTTGATAATATTCCCTCAAATAGCTAAAAGTGGCCCAGGTCGACTAACGATTCCTTGCATTATTTGTTCGACTACGATTAGCAAATTGTGATGAACTCATGCTCGCAGATCCGATCTTACTTATGTTGGTGATTTCTTTTTTGCCAGAAAATAGATTATAAGCATCTAATGACAACTGCGTAAGTTGAAAACATCCAGTAATCTATCAGCAGCTGTTGCCGAAAACAGAAAGGTTCACTCTCAAGGTACCAGACGCAAGGTCAGTCTAGGACCAGACCACCTTAAATATCATTGCTCGAGAAAACCTTTTGATTTTGTAATTAAGGTTTTATCGATGTGTCCACTTGAACAACGTTTATGCCTCTCTGTATACATTTATTTCACCAATGCGATGAAGCGCATCACCAATGACTTTCGATCACTTTATAAAGTCATAAAATGAACATTAACATATGCTTAGAATGACAATCAAGGCCGTTCATATTTTATTTCGCTAGTAAACATTGCTGTCTATACGAATATTTTGTCTGGAGAATTAGTTAAAATGATATTCTGTGTCCTTCAGATATTCCATATTCCTAATATTTTATGTAATCTCATTTTTGTCATTCCGACAAAGGCAAAATTATTCGGACAACTCGCGTAAAGAATGATGTGGAAAGATTAATGCAATCGTACAAAACTGTGGACAGAAAACTATGGACGCCGGTATCGAATGCAAGTCTGTACGTATATGGAATAGGTTGGTCCTCCAAACGCGCCTCAAAATGTTTCCAACTGCATTTGTCTCAAACACTATCTGTAATCTATCTTTACTAATAACTCTTTCTTTCTAATAACATGGTTTGGTATTAAAAAAAAAATGCTTTTTGATAAGGCGGCAATGTTATTTTTATTTCACTCGCTGCTACAAATGTTTCGTCAAAATGTTATTTGGATTTCGTTTTGCGGTTGTTTTTTTCTATTTTAAATAATATTTCGTAAATTTTTGTGCGTTATTGTTAGATGATTTCGGAATATTTATGCATGTATGTATTCTTAGTGTTCGTATAAATAAGAAGACAACTGAATGTCCAGCTTGTAATGAATTGATCGTTTAAAGACCATACGAGGTATTCAAATATAAACAATGAACCATAGCGACTTTTGTTCTCTTGCTGTGACCAACTCAACATACACACACAAAACATTTATAACAAATGTCATTTTTGTAGAAAACAAAATGAACACAAATAATATCTCTCCCATTTATTATGTTTTGCTACAAGACGTGACGTCATGTCAGTGACCATGTCTGAAGACGGCAATTTTTATAGGATTTGCGAGTAAAATACGGATTAATATTTCAAATTTGTTGATTAGAAGAAAATGAACGTGCCAAATTACGTCTGGACAGTTTTATTGTGTTTTATTTATGATGGTAAGATGGTGTAATTTTTATGTCTGTCTAAATTTTATTATTACTATACTTTCCCAAATGCAAATATTTTCTTTTTTTTTACAAAGTTTTTAACTTTCAGCACTTGAGTCCAAGTTCACACAACTTCTGTACCTTATAAATAGTCCGATTTTCAACACAGTTTTTAGACTATTACATAGTATTTTTAAAATATCACACAACTTAATTAAAATATATCAAATTCCAATCATAAATCTATTATGACTGAAATGGTTCATGCGCTTAATAGGAAAAAAAAGAAACCAATTATGAAACATAATTAATATTACTATTTCAGTATCGTCGCAATGTACCTTTCCTAGCAGTCTTCAAGGACAATGGTTACGTTCCAGAGACACCAAAACTTTAACTTTTACTTCTCCATCTACAGTCACTGGCTTTAATCTGGAATCAAAGAAACAGACTGTTGATGTATTTACCTGTTATATTACAGAAGGATCTCAGTATGTTTTACGGTAAGAAATTAATTGATCTTTTAATCGATTAGCAACAAATATTGTTCTTAAATAAAATTTATAAACATTGTGTTTTATACGGAACACAATATATTTCCCAAGTTTTTATCATTTTGAAATTCTTGGACTATCGTGTTTCAATTGAAAGCAAAGTACTTATCTGATGTATTAAATTTAATGGAAATACTAGTATGTAGATTAGATATGAATTTGACAATGTCAATGCAAGACAAAATTGATATGAACATTGCTGTTTTCGTCAAATTAGGTAAAACATGACTTTACCACCCTGATTAGGACAAAAAATAAAGTTACAAAAAGGACAATTGGTTACTGGCCACTATAAATATAACGAATATATGAGTATAAATTCAACAAACCACATTAACGTATTGTTAACAGTTGCTTTCATGTTAAATTTAAAGGAATGCAATCGTCTAATTCTTGGCCGAAAGAAACCTAATGAAATACCCTTATTCTTTTTTTTTAATTTCAAAGTAATAATCTAAATAAATGACGTCATTAACTCGGTTCTACAGATCTCTTAAATAAGTACAATATCAAGATAATTTTTTTTATTCTATTTCATTAAGCTTATTTAACCGTTCTTTGAACCCGGTCATTAGAAACTGGAAATAAACTGTAAAGCAAATATTTCTTATTTGTAAAATGTAATCGTGAAATAAGTTAACCAATTACTATTTTGCAGATCTGAACGTTATAACAATATATTACCCAATACTTATATTTATATTTACATCTGTTATGACATGGTAGCAGTGGGGGACAAGGCTTTTTATATCTATGAGATAACTGGTAAGTACCTTTGGACATTGTATAGCGAAGCATTGCTGTCATTTAATACAATAAACTAAATCATCTATATTTTTGGCAGTAAGCCGATATAGAAAATTTCCTTTAATTTTGGAACTGATGTCCTGTGAGGATATTATATACACAGGCCATCCTGGGAAATAAATAATTTTGTATTCAGTAAATATCCTGAAATACCGAATTTTTTCAATGATTGTGATCGAGAGAGAACGTTTCAATTGTAAATAATCAAACAATATCCTACACGACGGAATTTTAAACGTATACATTAGTTTCATTTCGTTTTTAGAAACAACCAGTGAAATAAGTAATAATGAAAGGGGAGCTGTTTATTCTGACACTATAACAGTAACACTTTCAGATATATGTACACTTACCAGAAACGATGTACAATATACTACTTTAGTTTCAATAGGTAAGATACCACTTCCGGTTTAAGTACAGCAAGCTACGTTATCACACTATACTGATTTAGTTTCCATAAGTAAGATACGAATTCCGATATAAAGTGTACATGTTAAGTATACTAAGTTATCATTACGACAGATGTACACCTACCAGAAACTACATACACTGTTTTAGTTTCCGTAGTTAAGAAATCACTTATGATTATTATTATACATTATATATTATGTACACTTACAGATACTATACAACTTTAATTCCAAAGGCTGGATTATGTACACCTACCAGAATGTTGTACTAATACAATCGACTACTCCTAGTGTTTTTGCTTTGTTGTTTTCAGCGGGTCTAGCTGCCAATTCCATCACCTACTGCCCTGATATACTATTAGGAGCATTTAACTACTCACAAGAATCGCTTGTTTCTGAATGTGCT